TCCTCCGCAAGTACTTTTGCTGACCAGTCCACACGACTGTTTGACATGTGCGGGGATCTGGGAGCAATTCAAGTCTGAATAAAATACGCAACAGATATTTGTGTTAGAGGCGATCTAAGACGCATAGTGATTGGTTCGCTGGTTGCCCTTGCTTTTCTGAGCACGCCTGGTTAGTGTCTGGTTAGTGTCACTGTTTTTCATTCTGAGTACCCTGACGCAACGTAAGTTATAGTACCCTGTTACGGGGTCAGGGTGATTTTTTTTTCTCGAACAAAGTTTGGCGGCATTGCTTGAGTGTTTCATATCACGATCAATCTAGGCTGCGAGCAAGAATACTCGGCTCCCTACATGGTTTAGAAACCTTTTGGAGTCTTACATCGCCTGAAAAAACGACACTGAGTAATTAAAGGTTCTTATTTTGCGAAATAGCTGCACGCTTTGTTTGGTTTTCGTAGGTTCAGTAACCCATGTGTATTATTAGACCCTGACGAATTTCCTATTATTTCGTCAGAGTATTACGTGAGAGTATTTTGAAAAGCTTGTGCAATCATTGGCGTCTTGAATCTCACAGAAACACGCAAAATATTTTGTGTTTTGGCCTCGAAATGACTTTCTCGATTTTCATGTTTTTGTTCCACGTTTAGTCCTTGAGCAATTGTGAAAAGTCTGAAGGCAAAATGTTTTTTTTGGAGTCAAACTGACTGACCGCAAAATGTGTTTACGGGTCAGGCCTGATCTACTGGACAACAAATCAATCATCACTTCCAATTACCCTTGACACTGTTTTTTCAAGGCAATAATTAATTATAAATGGTAATACACATGGTGATGATCTTAGTACAGCCCGGGAGTACAGACACGACGTCCATTCGGTTGAGGGCTCATGTCAAAAAAAGTAACGATTCCTAAATTTTTAATTGTAGTGAATATGCTTATTTGTACTTCCGGAAGTTATTTTGAAATAGATATAACTTGGTAAATATATTCCGTATCGACATGATGTTACATTGTAAAAAGGTTTAAATCCCGCGTTCTCAGTCTGATTAAATAAATATCTTTTATCAGATCGTGCTCGACTAAACCGTTATTTATCGTTTGGTTCATATGAAATCTCCACAATTAAGCATATAAAGCAGCCAAAGCTAGGAGTTCTACTGTAAGGAAATAATCCGGTCATTTGAGAATACTTTCACTCCGGCCTCTCGCTTGTGCTTTCCGCTAAATTTCCGTCGGGTTCTCAACCACAATTTAGCGTAGTATTTTATTATAGTAAAAATATGGTTTTTGATTCTTTGTTTGCTGAATACAAACAACGACCACAATAAATTTTAACTATAGAATAATGCCACTCAATGCTTGTATATTTTGGTACACGTGCCGAATATGTCGACTATAAATGAACCCGTGTCTGTATCCGGCAAAATCTAAATGACGCCATTTCTACTGCTACATGTCCGCGTCTTTATATAGAAGTGGCTGTATTCTGTAGTTACAAATTAAAGTGACCATTATATTAACCGATAACAAGGTCAGTAGTTACATACCTTGAATGCTACTGTTTGCCAGCAGAAAGCGTGTGGAAAACGCAACCAAAAATAATAGCACGCGTTGAAGCATGGCGTCGAATATTATTGGTCATTAATACATTGCCTGAATGGACGCAACTGAGTGGCCTGTCGTTTCCAGAGCTCTCGGAATCTCAAAAGTGAAATTAAAGCAGTTCGTCGATATTCAGTAATCTCACGAAACGTATTTCCTGAGCGGTTTAATTTCGTGTTGACGGTCTGAAGGTAACTCCCACACGGTATTTTGGGCGTCACAGGAAACAGTGACGAACGTCTTTGTGTAATCTAGTTAAATATCAACTATGAATTAAGTATCTCACACAATGGAATAATGTTGTTTTTATTCTGAAAAAGGCTCTAAATCAGCAAGGTTTTAGTCTTAAACAGGAAAAATAATCTGCTCTCTGCTTTACATTCAAATTTTCTCAGCTGGTCTTCAGAACGCAGAGCGCAGGCTGTTCTTTCCCTAACAACTCAATGAACTCCAACGGAGTTTTTCCCTCAAAACCATCACATAAGAAATATATTTACTAAGTAAGGAATTTATTTTTCTATATAATTTCTCGTTTTAAGTTTATTCTGTTCAGCCGGAAATTTTCTTTCGTAAGTTTGGCAATATTCGCAATGTTTTCAAGACATTATATACTTATTGAACTGGTATATGCTATCTTGTTAACTCTTCAAGACTGATGATTACAACGATCTAACAAGCCTTGGAGTATTAATATCAAGGTTCTTTACAAAAAAATTCAGCTATTCCTCAATTCCTTCCAAATAGATTGGGGCACTAAAAAACATTCAATTACGATAGTCATCGCGCCCTTCATCTTAAAGAGTACAGAGGTATATGCTGTTTAACTCTACTTAAAAAATTCTTTTTTTGGTGAATTCCTAAAACAGTACTAGTCCTCGTGCAAAAATGGGTTTGATTTGCATGAAAAAGAACCTGTAGGGGAAACTCATTTTCATACAAGTTTTGAGTTCCTTTTGAAACAGAGGCAAAAGCTAACTCGGAAATTAAATGGCCTAATTGAAATTGACCATTACTTCAATGAAATGCCACTCAGTCATCTAAGTCATCTAATATACATTAATTTCACGATCGATTTCCAGAATGGTCTGAAAATGTGCCAACATTATTACGCACGATAACAGCTAGGTGAGGATACTCTACGAAAAAAATACCGCGGGTGTGAACAAGACCGCTTTATAATAATACTGGGGAAAAAATGACAAACAATTAAATGTCGGTACTTTCTTAAATTACAAGAAAGTTTCTGAAGTTCCAACAATAATTCAGGCAAAAAAAGTGGCTGAAATTAAAGATGGGAAGACTCCAATTGAGTCCCGGTAAATCATTGGCTGGGGTGTCAAAATTAAGCAAACAAAATCCCTCGGGTAAATAATGTGTACCGTATAGAAGAATTGGGAAATTGTGCATTTTACACAGACATAAAGTAATTTGACAGAAATCCACATCCATCTACATACTGCATAAGTGAATGCTATTTTCTTCTCCGTTTACTTTAGCGACTAGAATCTGACTAGCATTAAAGTTTGTTCAGCGTTCTTCGTCAAATCGCTCTCACCAATATTAACCGAATGTAGCAAAGTAAGTAAAAGTTCCCCTGCCATTATTTATGTTATATAACATTATTTTTTACGAGCTGGTGTTAACATCTAAAGTTGTCTCGATACATTCAGCTATTTCGGTATTTGCATAATTTCACCATATTTAGTTCACTACTTGTTCTCATTATGTAAACTTAGACGACGCCTTCCTCGAAAACTCTCTCCTCGTCATCACTATGGAAACCAGGGTTACACGCGACATTGATGTAACCAGAGCTGGGTTGTTCTCCACTCTGAGGGGTGCCTGGAGCTTGCTGGAAAATCTTTCTTGTAGCTTTGTTCGTAACGGTGGCATCTTCTGAGGAAACGAAAGAAATTCTAGTTTAACTTCCTTTACAATCCATCAAATATTTTCCCTCGCGCGCGATTAGTCTAAACAAGTCACTTGACTGAATATCCCCCAGCTAAAACTGGGGAATATCCGAATCAATATTTCCCAGTTTTTCAAAAATGCGTGTGTTGCGAAAAATATTGGAAAGATGACAAACACAATAGCCTCCGTTTGGCGCGAAAATATGCTGGGATATTTGTCCTTGGACATCATCTTTTACTCAAGGCTCGCAGTTTTCTTCGAGCTACGCTCTCGGAAAACTGTTCGCTTCTTGGAACAGATAACGTCCGCGGACAAATATCCGAGCATATTTTCGCGCTATCACTTGAACTACCAACTTAGGCGAGCTCGACCGGTAGCCTTGCCATGTATTCCAGCCCATAGAAGTTTACTAAATACCCCACCGCTCATCCTGGGAACACCAGGCTCCGGGCGAAGTAAAACAAATAAATCAATTTATTTATTCTTTCTCTCGCTCTGTCTATATTAACTACGAATACGCCAAGCACGCGCTCCCATCTGACTGGTAGTCTAACTTGCCTTTGAACTCTTCCGGTGGAACGCCGATGTTTTGGTACAGCGGTTGCTTGTCATGGACAGGTGGTGTTGGTGGGGAATGGTCTAGTGAATCGTAGTGTGACGTCACCTCCTGTTTGAGCTGAGCTATCATCAAGGCAAAGTTGGGTCTTTGTGAAGCATCTTTGTGCCAACAATTTTTCATTGTTTGGTACACGTGGTCCGGGCAGTCGTCGGGTTGACCCAGGTGTACTCCCTGTCATAAGAGATATGATTATAACCAGCAGTGATCAAAGATTTTAATACGTTATATAGTGTAACGTGACGTTTTTGAGCAACGGAAGTGAACCGGAAGTCGAATGTTCTTTTATTTGGCGCGTATCAGTATCAACTTTACGTTAAAAATACTATGAGAGCTTTCCAAGCTATTGGTTGTGAGTGAATACGTTCCAAAAGCAAGAAAATAGACCTCCAGTTGACAGCTCTTTATTTTTGTAGGTCGCTTTTATTCGCGTCAGAGAAAAGAGTTCTGTATAAGAAAACGAAGAAAACAAAAGTTCCGGTAAATAAAAATTACTCATAGCGCAATAGAGCGGTTTTCAATTGGTTTGGTTTTGGTTTTACGACACTCTATTGAAAACCGCTCTAAAAGCTTGATTGAGTTATTTATCGATGGCCTCGTGGCTGCCTATTGTGACGTAATGACAATTGACAGCTTCTTTCCATAAACAAAGAGGACGTTTTCAATATAGGTCATTTTTTCAGCGAAATTATCTGCCTAAGCCCCTGTGGCGCAATGGACTAGCGTGTTGGACTTCTAATTCAAAGGTTGTGGGTTCGAGTCCCACCAGGGGTGGATTTTTTTTTTTTTTCTTTCTCTTCAAATCCACTCTACAACTCCATTAAAAATTTCATTTAGGATTTATTTATCGGCGATTTAAATTAAAAAAAAAAAA